ACCTGGTGGTCATCTTGGCATTCAGAGGATAGCTCGCAAGGTGCTTGACTGTGGTTTCTACTGGCCCACCATCTTCAAGGATGTGTGGACGATTTGCAGCACCTGTGAGTAGTGTCAGAGAGCAGGAGGATCCCTTTCTTAGAGATAGTAGATGCCTCAGCAACCCATGTTGTTCTGTGAGGTCTTTGATGTATGGGGTATAGATTTCATGGGTATTTTTCTTGTCTCTTTTGGTTTTTCCTATATTCTCCTAGCTGTTGATTATGTTTCAAAATGCATGGAGGCCAAAGCCACCAGAACTAATGATACTCGGGTTATTGTGGATTTTGTCAAATTTAACATATTTTGCAAGTTTGGAGTACCCAGAGCTATTGTTAGTGATCAAGGCACCTGTTTTTGTAACAGATCCATGCAGGCCTTGCTCAAGAAGTATGGGGTTGTTCATAGAATATCTACACCCTACCACCCTCAAACTAACAGGCAGGCCGAGATTTCAAACAGGGAGATCAATAGGATCTTGGAGAAGATTGTGCAGCCCAACAGGAAAGATTGGAGTAACAGGCTAGAGGATGCTCTCTAGGCGCATAGGACTGCTTACAAAGCACCCATAGGGATGTCTCATTACCGGGTTGTCTTTGGTAAAGCATGTCATCTTCTTGTGGAGATAGAGCACCAAGCCTATTGGGCTGTCAAGACCTGCAACTTCTCTATTGATCAGGCTAGAGAGGAAAGAAAGTTGCAACTGATTGAGCTTGATGAGATCCGCCTAGAAGCCTATGAGAACTCTAAGTTCTACAAGGAGAAAACCAAGAAGTTCCATGATAGTTTGATTGCCAGAAAGGTTTTCACGGTTGGGCAGAAAGTTTGATTGTATAATTCAAGGCTTGGTCTCATGGGTGGTAAGTTGCGTCCTAAGTGGATTGGACATTTTGTTGTTACTAACATTTTTTCCTTATGGTACAGTTGAGATCAAAACTTGAGTCCACAAACAAGAGCTTCAAAGTTAATGGGCACCGTCTAAAGCCTTTCCTCAACAATCCTTCCTTGTTGAATGCAGTTGTAGAGGAGACGTCTCTGCTCGATCCCGCTACTCTAACACCATGACTTAGGGAGTTTTCTTTCTCTCTCTCCTTCTTTAATTTTGTTTCACATGTCCAATTCTTTTGATTGTTCTGATTGCTCTGATCTTGTGTGTGTGCCACATTGGGACAATGTGTGGTTTAAGTGTGGGGGGAGATTGTTTTGGTTATATGTTTTTAGGGTTTGTTTGTTACTTTTGGTTTAGGTTTTATATATAGTTTTGCATGTTCTCTTTGATTTCTGGGTTTTGATAGTTTGTAGGCACTTACTTCACTCTTGGATATGAGTTACTTGATATTCTATGGATTGAAATCCCTGTCTTTCTCTGCTTGGCAAGTTGATTATGAGGTTTGAGAGGTTGAGTTGAATGTGACATATTTACCCTGTGTGAGTTTTTGAGCCGCTCTCTGTTCTTTCTTGTGTGTTTTGCCTCTTGATTGCTTGCACAATATCCTTGGCTTGACTATGTTTCATATTTCTTGGTTCACATGCATGTTTGGAAAGGATTAAGGAATTTTGATTCTGATAAGCCTCTAGCCAAATAAGCCTACCTTGAATTAAGTCCTCTGATAACCCATGCCGAGCCTATTTCCCCTTCTTTGTTTGAATCTCATTACAAGCCTTAAGTGAAAAACCATGATTACCTTAACCTTAGGGAGTTTTGGAGCTTTGGAATTGTTTTGGGAATAAGTTCTTGAATAAGTGTGGGGGTGTGTGTATGTTTCGTTGGATGATATATATTGGCTAGTTGGTTCCTCATGTTGTACATTTTACTTCTCTACGCATCTTATCTTATCTCATTTCAAAAATTTCATGTGTACTATTCACTCTTCTTCTAAAAAATATTCAAAAAAAAAATGAAAATGAGAAGTTGCTTGTGTTAGAAAAGAATGGCACAATCCAAGAGGGGGGGTGAATTGGATTCTATGACCTTTTTAAAAATTATCAGAGTATTTAGGATCTTTATTTCACTTAAACTTTTCTAAGACTGAATTTTTCAAATGAAGCTCTCTTAAAGACTTGTTATGAAAGTATGAATGAAATATGCTTTCTTGATTACAAAATTGTGAGGTTCAAATATAATGTTCTAATTCAGATTTAAACCAACAATTTTCACACACACATGTTAATCAAGAATTATCTTCTTTAATGTTCAATCAAGCAATTACTCAAAGTAAAAGATAAGGTAGAAGAAGATTGCACAAGTCTTTTATACTGGTTCAGCCACTCCACATGTGACCTACATCCAGTCCTTAATCAACACCTGATTAAGATTTGTTCCACTATCTTAAGCAAGAAGGTTTACAAGCACACACACATGCATATACTTCAACACAAAAGATAACCACTTTCTTGACCCCAAGAAAGCACCCCTTGTAGAACCCACTACAAGAAACCTTACCACTTGAGAAACCCTTCTCAATATTTTACAAAGATTCACAAAGAATAAAGGAACGAATTCACCTGGAATTCTTGAAGCAAATCTTAATCTTCCCCTTTCAAGATATGATGATGATGATCATCTCACAAAGTTTTTCACAAACGTTTTTACTCTTGGATTTCACAAAGAAAACTCTCCAAGATGTCACAGAGACTCCACAAAAACGTTTTTCACAAATTGATTATCAGTTCTAACTCTTGTCTGAAGTTTCTCAAAGTTCAAACTATTTATAAAAGTTTCAGACGCAGATAATCGATTATTTTAAAGAATAATCGATTATTTTGTTCTTCAGATTTTCTGGAAATCAACCAAGAACAATATAATCGATTATTTTGCTGGATAATCGATTATTCCAGAGAGTTGTTTCTGGGATAATCGATTATTTTGGCAAATAATCGATTATTGCAGCAAGGCATCCCATTTTGCCTGTTGCTGGAATAATCGATTATATTTAATGATAATCGATTATTTTGAGTTAATTTTTAAAACTTCATTTTATACCTCAAAATAAGTTTCTAATCTTCTTAATTCATCATCACATACTCTCTACTTAGCTTTAGATATAGATTTGTTTATGCACAAAGCATACTAAGCACACACAATATAAAAACTCATTCAAAACAACTTAATTTCTAAACTCTATTACATTGCTCCATTACATAGCATTTTCTTGACTTTTCTTTGACTTTGTTTTTGTGCTTCCAAGTTGTAAGTTGTTGTTGTACATGTGCTTCCAAGTTGTTGTTGTACACTTATGTTGTGATCATCAAAACTCCTTTAGGCTTCAAGCTCTCCTAAGCTCAACAGCTTGAGACAAGACCTTTTAATCCTTATGTGCATGTGTGTTGGGTGTTAATTGTAGAGGTTTTCCAAGTCTATTTGTTGCTTGTTTTTCATGAGTGCTTTGAGAGTATACAACAGCATAGACACTTGAGAGATACAGTGATACAGTGCATATCTTGTGAGGTTCTGTTGCTTTTGATTCACCTCTTGAACTGATTGATTTTCTTGCCATGTTTAGAAATACTTAGATGATGTTCATAGGCATCTGGTTTCTTTGGCTCCTTGTGTGTTGCATGTTGTCTATTCCTTTCTTTTCCCAACATTCATTGAGGAGTATGTAATTTTGTCTCTTTATGTGATGCTATTTTTGTTTTTGTTTTTCTCCTTTGTGTCACTCTCTTTGTTGTTCTAGATTTATCCATTACTCTGCTTCATGATTTTCCCCAGGAGTCCAAAAGGCTAAGTGTGGAGGAATTTGATGAGTCATTATTTTTTCTTATTTATTTATCTTTTTGTACTTATTTAATTGTTGATTTGGGCTTAATCGCTTATTAATTAACAGTTTTACTATTTGGGCTTTATTGGGCCAGTAATTCGAATTTAATTAATTCTAATTCACTTGGTCTAATTTTTGTCTATTAATTATTTTCAGCTTAATTATGAAGCATTTTTGGGCTTGGATATTATTTTTGGACTTCAAGAGATAAAGTGTCATGTCAACGCCATGTCAGCACCTAACCGCCACATCAATGCCACATTAGCAACATGTTTACATTTTTGTTAACCTTATTTCGGTCATTTTCGGGCCAGACACATGGGAAGGAGACCCATTTACGTTTTAGGGTTTCTTAGGACCTAGGGCTGACCATGCAGCCAACACTTTTGATGTGACCACATTTTGAGTTCTCTCTTTCTTCTTCTTTTACGTTTTTTGTGGCTCTTTCCTTCCTTTACATTTTTCTCTCCACTGTTTTGTATCTTCTTTAACGTTTTTCTTCTACTTCTTCTCTGGTTGTATCAAAAACTACACTTTTACATTGAATGAATACAGATCGTTAGTTTCTTCTTCTTTTCCTTTTTCCTTGCATTTTTGGTTTTATTTTTGTTTTAATGGAAGGCTAAAACCCTCGGGGTTGGCTCCCTTTCCAGATTGTAATCATTGTTTGAGGATTTATTTCTATTATGCATCTCTATTACGCTCTCTTCTTATTCATTGGACCTCTGTGTTAAAACGTTTTCAACACTTGTTCATGCTTAATGAATCTGGGTTGTTGCGTTAAAGCCACAGTTTGCTTAATCCTGTGGGGAGGTTTAGTGTTGTACACATTTGCTTAATTCGTGTAAGGAAGTCTTGGGTTAATCTTTGCTTAGTTGGTTAACTCGAATGGAACAAGGAAGTTGATAGAAAAATCCCTTAAGAACCAGGGATAAGAGAGTTACAATCTCAACAAGGAGTCAACCTGCTTTACTTACTGCTCTACTTTCATTTTATTATGTTTTAACCCTTGATAAATCTGAACCAAAACACCCCCCTTTTCGTGTTTGAACCTTTGACAGAGACAAATGGTCCTTGGGATACGACTTAGGAAAGCTTCCTAGTATTACATTTTCTTGTTTTTATTTGACCGGATTACGGCTTTGATCAGAATGCTCCCCTTGCATGCTGCCCTTAAAGGGCTCGGCCCTTTAAAAGGGCTCAGCCGTTTATGACAAAACCCACTTGTTCTTCACCATTTTCACCCAAAACCTGACATGCAAATGCACCAAATCCATATTCAAACACCAATTCAAGAAGATCCAGCACAAAAAAAATCACAAAATTTTAGCAATCTACACAACATGCAACTCAACAATCATCAAAAACACCACATGCAAACCCACTAGCTTCCCTTACCTCAAAGGAGAAAAATTTGAGCTTCAGGGAAGAAAAGATGAAGAAGAAGATCTGTGTCTCTAGTCAGCAACTTAATGCTCTACTCAGCACCTTCAGCAACAACAACACATGGGATCTTAGAAAATTGGGAACAAGAGAATGGAGAGTGAGAAGAAAATGAAAATGGAGAGGAAAAGGGAAAGGAGAAGAATGAGTTCTTGTGTGGGTCTTACAACCTCCCCAAAAACAAGAATTTTCGTCCCAAAAAATAGACTGAATTGGGAATAAGGAAGGATACTACTTCTACACTGTTGCTCAACTTCCCAAGTAGTCTCACTAGTGGCTGCATCTTATGAAATTTTCACCAAGCCAAAAGACTTGCCTCTCAACTCTTCCAACTTGTAATCAACCACAGCTACCGGCATCTTCTCATAAGTTATGTTCTCCTTGACCTGAACTTCATCCAACTCAACCACATGACTTGGGTCATGGAAAAAATTCTTCAATTGGGAAACATGAAACACATTTGGGTAGATTGAAAAGAAATGGTGGCAAAGCCAACTGATATGCAACCGGACCTACACGATGAAGGATTTGATAAAGACCAATAAATCTAGGTGTCAACTTCTTAGCCCTCATCGCCCTTCCCACACCAGAGGTGGGTGTCACCTTAAAAAACACATGTTTCCCTTCAGCAAATTTCAAAGGCTTTTGCCTTTTAACAACATATGATTTCTGCCTACTCTGGGCAGTTCTCATCCTTTCTTGAATTAACTTCACCTTATTAGTAGTCTGTAGGACTAACTCTGGCCCCAAAACCATTGATTCTCCATCTTGATACCAACATAGAGGAGTCCTACACCTCCTACCATACAAGGCTTCAAACAGTGTCATCCCGATACTAGCATGAAAGCTATTGTTGTACGTGAACTCCACCAGTGGTAAGACTTCCTCTCAACTCCTTAAGTGGTCTAGCACACAAGCCCTCAACAAATCCTTCAAGGACTGAATTGTCCTCTCTGACTGACCATCTATTTGTGGATGATAAGCAGAACTCAATCTCAACATCGTGCCTAAGGCTTAGTGTAGACTCTGCCAAAATTTAGAAGTGAACCTCGGATCTCTGGCTGAAATAATACTGGAAGGCACCTCGTGCAACCGTACTATTTGTTAACCCAGACGAAGCAATTACCAACAAAGTTTTGAATGAGACAAATATAATACATATTGTTATTTCTAACAAGTCTGTTAGTGTTTTAGAAAAACATAAGTACAGGAAAGTTGAAGAATAGTGCATGTGCTACTTCATATACTAGAACCAATATAAAGGAAGGAAAGCTTCAAGCATCAGACGGAAAGGTCAAAAGAAGCCAAGTCCAGCACAAAAAGAAAAATGATCAAGCTCTAGACGAAGCACAGTCATGAACGAGAACACAACACAAGAAGAAAAATGATAAAGCATCAGACGGAAAGCCAAAACAAGTATCAAACAAGGCTAAATCAAGAACAAGACAATAGTGGTTAAGCACCGGATGAAGTCCGTATAAACATCATATGAAGCTTAATGGTCAACTAGACGAAGATTAGTCAAGGAAAAGCACAACACGAGGATCAGACTAAACAAAGTCAAATAACAGATGAATACGAACTGAGCGCCAGACGCTGATGAATCCAATACCAGACGTAGGTGTGTTAAGCACAACCTAGAGCACAACATAAGAACTCAGACAAAGGTTGGTCAAGAATCAGACAAAAGTCAACTACATACCAGACAAAGGACAACACAGACTGAAAAGCATTCCAGATGGAAACTAAGTCTGTCCATCTACAATGTTGACCAAACCAAAGAAATTCAAAGCATTAATGACAAATGCTCAGACAAAGATCAAGTCTTGAGATGCACATGGACTACCAGGCAAAGACAAAGACTACCATGCAAGCATTTGAAAAATCAAGTCTCAAGGGACAATTCATACATCGTCTATAATCATACAAAAGCTCTCAATATGATCGCGCGATAAAAGGAAGAAAAGAAAAGGAAGAAAAGCAGGCACAAAACTAAAAGAATGCATGTGTTAGAAAAAGTACATTACTTTTTCAGATAAAGACAACGCCTCTACAGCTACGATGACCGAAAAAGGACAAAAAGTTCCTAGGTCTCAATTAAAGTCAGATACTACAGCTAACAAAATGTAGAAGACTTCATGCAATGTCTATAAACAGGAAACAACATTTAATGCAAGATCTAATGCATTAAATGAAAGATCGAACTAGTCATGAACGACTACATCCTGCTTCAACGGACACTTGCAACGGGAAAATCTTACAGAGACTATAGATATGTCATGACTTCAAACCTGGAAAGGTTGGTGAAGACAATGGTTCCAAGCCCAAGATTCAAAGAAACCAAAGATAGAGCATTCATAGTCAAATGTACAATATTGTATTTATCTCTGTAGACTAAGGAGTTCTAAGTGTAACTTAGGAACATAAACCTTAGTGAGTGTAGCAAATCTTTGTATCCTCTCTGTAAGAGTAAACCACACACTCATAAACAAACTAGCTATCATTTATAAAGCCCGAAAAGGCTAGGGAAAGATTCTTTGGAAAAAATACTTGTATAAGCCTGGAGAGGCTTGTCAAAGAATCCTCACTAAGAGCCTGAAGAGTCTGAACAAAGAATACTAGCGCTAATAAGTGAAGTTAGCGGGCCAAGAGTGGTCGATAATCCTCATTGAGAGCCTGAAGAGGCTGAACAAAGAATACTAGTGCTAATGAGTGAAGTTAGCCAACTAGGAGTGGTTAATAATACTCGGGGACCAGGAGTGGTCGATAATACTCACTGAGAGCCTGAAGAGGCTGAACAAAGAATACTAGTGTCAATGAGTGAAGTTGGCTAACCACGAGTGGTTGATAATACTTAGGGACCAGGAGTGATCGAGAATACTCACTACGAGCCTAAAGAGGCTAAACAAAGAATACTAGCGCTGACGAGTGAAGTTGGCGGGTCAGAAGTGGTCGACAATACTTGGCAAACCATAAGTGTTGATAACACTTGTACTTAAATGAAAATCTAGTGGCACCCTTCAATTGAAGGAGACTGGACGTAGCTCAGTCTAAGCAAACCAGTATAGAAACCTTTGCACTATTTATCTATGTTTTAGACACAATTTCGTTTACTTGATATAGCATATTGAATATTTTTTCCATTTCTTATTCTTCACTATAACTCTCTTCAGACGAAAAAGACACTTGCTTAACTTATTATTTTAAGAAATATTTTCCTTGTGCAGACGATCAACTTTCAGACAGAAAATCCTTTGTTGAGCAAATCCTGCACAGTTCTTAAGTATTAAAATAATATTTTTATTAGACAAAAAAGAGTTCCTCTGCAAAAACAGTTTTAAAATTCCTCCATTCACACACACATATTCAACCCCCCTTCTATGTGTTTTTCCTCTAACTTCAATTGGTATCAAAGCTTGACCCCTTGGGTTAAGCAATTAACATTGTATGGGTAGAATACGATCCATTGAAGAATAAAGGACAAATGGGAAGTCTAAAAGCAAGGACGACAAACTATTGGACTAGGTAAAATAGGTATCAAATCATTTACATCAATAAAGCATGTTTCAAATGTCATAAGAGTAGATTGCATCAAATACGCTAGAATATTAATATACTTGTAGTCCAGTTTCTTCTGAAACACAATAGGAAAACAAACGTAGTAAACCACTTCATCTGAATATTCCTCAGAGTGCAGTAAGAAATTACTACATCTCAGAATCTTCGTCCGATGAAGTGTCTAGGTAATTTCTCTTGCGTCTATAAATTTAGTCCTTGCGTCTGAAAATTCAGTCAGGCATATTCCTAATAAATGACCTTCATCATTAAACGTAACATCTGTCAAGAGTAGTGGAAGACAAACATTCTCCGCATTTAAAGGATAAAACTCTTAAATAAATGAGTAACAAAACCATCATTTGGGGTTTTTATTTGAAAAGACAGATCCTTTACCCAGAATTAAATGCGAGCTGCACATGACACACGTCATTCTGCACGAGGCAAGCGAAAGGGCACCACGTCAAACAAATAATAAAAACAGAAATATGTTTTGTTTCGAAATCCCTATTTCTTCCCTCCAACTCACTATCTTACTCTTTACGCTCAAAGACTTCAAACTTTCAAGTTTTCTCTCTGAGCCCAAAACCCTAATCTCTTCAAAACTTCCTCACTCACTACAATCGTTGTCCCAACTGAAAATGCTCCAACTGTGACCATTCCCGCAGAAATGCGCGAAGCCACTAACTACGCTCATACCTTCTCTACAGAGGTAAAGCCAGTGATGTATCTAGAACATCATTTCAACATCAGCCAGATGAAGGAATGGAGAATACCCATCTACGAGGATTTGGCTGATTGTGAAATCCTCGGGTATTTCAACATCAAGGAAGTTGTATACCCTGGCTTGGTGAAGATGTTCTACGAATACCTAAAGGCCTCTCAAGGATTCTTTGAAGGAATAGTGCTTGGAGTAACCGTCAGAGTCTGTCCTACCACTGTCGCACAAGCCATTGGGTGCGAGAAGACAAGCACCATCTACCACAAGGGGTAGATGTCTGATGCAGGTGGTCTGTCCCAGGTCACCAAGGTCCTTCACAAGGAGGGTGAAGGAGGCCTTATATCCTACAACAAGTTTAAAGATAAGTCTAAGGTCTATCAGCAAATAATGAACAAGTCGATCCTTCACCATTGAAGAAGAGCAGAGGAAAAGAATCATGGCAATGGGGAGAAACAAGAGGTTGAACCCTATTTTCTTCAGAAAAGAAAACCTAGGGAAAATGCCAGTAAGTTACAACATCTCTGACCCCACATTAGCCTTGAAGATAAAGAAGGAGATCGGAGGAGAACAACCGGTGAAGCACTCTACCAGGAAGCGCCAACTCTCTCCGTCTCCCAAGGTGGATGAACCTTTGGTTGTTCCTGCACAACTAGCTAAGAGGAGAATGGTTGTCCAATCAAACGAAGACTCTACGTTTGATGTAGAGGATAGCCAACCCATAGGGAAGGCACTAAAAAGAAAAGTTTCTCTACCTCCTCTAGCTCCACCTCACCCTAAAACGAAAAAGGTCATAAGGCTAGCATAAAAGGTGGTTGCTGAATCGGAGCGGTCAGCATGCACTCCTTCACCTAAGGCTAAAAGGTGGTTACTGAAACTGAGGCTGAAGTCATCGTCCCTTCATCTCTATCTAAAGTTCTTGTGGACGATCCTACCCCCTCTATCACTGTACATTCTTCCTTTGTAAATGATACTCCTATGACTTCTTTCTCTCCTTCCTTCTTAAACGTTATCTAAATCTCAATTTCCTTACAGGTCACCCCTGTAAATACTTTGGCTCTAAGGAAAAGAAAGATGGCAAACAGAGCCAATCGTCTGATCGTGCCTCCAAAGCCTCTTCCTTCATTTTCATCCAAGCAAAACTTGAATTCGCTAATTCCAGAAGGGATGCATCCAGAGCCAGACTTATACTCCATCATTTTTCCTGATACAGCAAACCCAGAGCATCCACCTGACTACAAACAGGGACGTGATGAAGAGAAATAAAATTGGTCTGCGTCCAAAGCCACGTCCATACATCATGGACAGGACCATATGTGTGCTTTGTGGACTATACCCCATCAACTGGGTTGGGCGTTATGTATTACAGAAGCCCACTAAACATGCCCTGGGGTACTACAGGCCGGTGTACTCTTGGCTTGAAGAAGGCTCCACCATACTAGACGCTTCAAGAAACCCTCTACGCGACTCGCAAGGGAACTCGTACAAGTATGAAGCCATCCTCTCCAACAAGCCAACTTATGGACCAGAGTACTACCACTCAGAGCAACCTCCT